GGTTCTCCTTTTTTACTACAAGGGGTTACCTTTGGGGATACTCTAAGGCTACTATAGAGGGTATTATGTTAAGGTTACTATAAGGGGTAATCTAAGGGAAGCTGCAAGGGGTTAGGGTTCAGGGTTTAGGGTTTTGGGTTACCTTTGGTTACCTTTGGGGGGTACTGTAAGGGTACTATACGGGGTACTCTAAGCGTACTATAAGGGTGCTGCAAAGGGTTACTTTTTGCAATTGGGGTTACTGTTGGGATTGCTCAAATTACTGTACGGGTCCCATAAGGGTACTGTACGGGTTGCTACGAGGGTTACTATACGGGCTGGTTATTGTGGGTGTGGGACAATGTGGTACAGATCTCGCCAGATGTGTGCTGAGATAATGCCGATTGCTTCGGCAACGTGGGGTGTTCAACTTGCCTCTAGATTGCAGCTGTATGGTTTCGCAGAGGGCTTTCTACAGGCAGCACCTATCCACTGTTGCGCAAAGGAAACTTAAAGGGAACTCCAGAAAGTTGGAAAATGGTTTCAGGGTAGGATACCCTATAATTTACCATAAAGGGTTTAGGATAATTACATTCCAACTTCCTGGCTTTTACTTTAAGGGATGCCTTTTCCGAAGCCCTGGCCGCCGGCCTCGATCGACCCCCTGCGGACCTCCGCGACAGAAAAATGGGAGTTTCCGAAAACAGGGGACCCTAACAGGGTACCCTAAATAGTAGGATCCTTATTATACGGCCCCCAAAATAAGGTACCCCTGTTTTCGGAAACTTCCAAATCAAGTTCTTGCTTCGGCCGGGCTCAGCACACAGAGGACTGGACTGGACGTTGCATCGTGAGGGACGTGTTGGACCGGGCAGTCTTCCGTGATCGTCTTGCCACATGAAGCTACCACGAGCTTCAACTGCTCTAACCCCCAACCCAAGCTGCCAGGCCAAGGACTCCGGTTTCATCTTCCACTTGCCGGCTTCCGAATTCAATCCCTTCAACAAGATAGCACCCTGAATAGTAGGATCCTTCTTCTTATTGTGTTTCACTTTTATTATTTGTATAAGGATCCTTCAACTTTCCTTGACCAGCCGGGAGATCTGTCTCAGGCCAGCCTGCAACGAGAGGCTGAAGCGCCTCCGGAAACGAAGAGGCGCCGCCAGCATCCTTCCCAGAGGCACAAGACTTTAGGGTTTAGGGTTTAGGGTTTAAGGTTCAGGGTTTAGGGTTTAGGTTTTAAGGTTCAGGGTTTAGGGTTTAGGGTTTAGGGTTTAGGGTTCAGGTTTTAAGGTTCAGGGTTTAGGGTTTAGGGTTTAGGGTTCAGTGCTTTTTTTTTAAACGCCTTTTTTCCACCTGCCTGTTCAGGGTTTAGGGTTCCGGGTTTACGGCATCAAGGGAACGGATCGACACTCCGCAGATCTTTTCCCTCAAAGACAGGGCCTTGCTGCTCACCCGCGCTTCCTCTTTCCTGGCCGTGGGACCAGGCACAATTGGGAGTGTCCGAACATTGGGGGGTACCTTTAAAGGGGTCCATCAGGGCTCCTTACATGGATCTATCAGGGTTCTATAAAAGGTTTAGGGTTTAGAGTTTCCGAAAATTAGGGTACCTTATTTGGGGTCCTTATAATAGGGATCCTGCTATTTAGGGTACTATGTTAGGGTCCCCTATTTTCGGAAACTCCCATTTGGGACCAGGCCCTTCCAACCCGAAACGACTCTTAGTCCCAGGACAGAGATTCTGCCATGGCCGCTGCCCGGATCTTGGCTTCAGAAGGGCTTCAGATGGAAGGAAACAACACAGTAGAGCCTAAACTCTGACAGGATGAATCCAGCCCCAAACAGCAGTCCTGCTGTTGGCCTTCCTCCTGCAAACGCGGAAGCATACGCTGGACTGCCGTGATCAGACTTGCAGCGTGACGCAGGCTCGTGCCGTGCAGCCGCCGGGGCTTTGGGTGAACTGGTGCCACGTGGCTGGTCGACTCCCAGCCCCATTCCAGCGTGGACACTACAGTTCCGCCTGCGATCCAGCTGCATCCGTGCCTGCGGAATGGGAGGAAGTGGGAGGAAAAAGCTTGACTGTCATGTTGACGGGCCCGACGGCCCGTCACCCTTCCCAGATCCCACCTCTGCACTCGCTGCTGCCGCATCTTCCGCTGCGGCCTGGTTTTGAAGCGATGGTAGAACACCACTTTTCCGTTGAGTTGGGGTCCGGGCAGCTTAGACAGTCTGAAACTTGGAGGTTGAGGTGAGAAGAATGAGCCGCTTTCCGCTGTCATGCTTCTGGAGACTCTGGATCCCTTAATAAAAATTTCCATATGGGAGTTTCCGAATATAGGGGACCCCAAATAGTAGGATCCTTACCCTAATTTTCGGAAACTCCCATATCTCCTCATCAAGTCAGACAAGACCTCACCCCAAACCCACATCGGGCCGGCCGTCAGCAGCATGCGCTGCAGTGGCTGCGACTCCTGCTGGAGGAGCTCTTGGGTGCCCCCCGAAACCCTTCGCCCCTCAAGCCCTAAGATCCACCTTCAACGGCCCCCAAACCCCAAGTCATAGTCTCATCCCGAACACCTCAAGGACCCTACACCCTGGGTCCAGTCCAGAATTGCCCTAAGATCCCCGTTACAGGGCCTCCGGAAGGTCGGCTTCTTCGGCAACGGACGGTGTCGGCGACCTTTCGAGTGACGACTCTCGCCCGCCCCCCACCACCACCGCAATCTCCACGAAGATATCCCCCCTCCAGCTTTGAAAAAAAACACTATAGGCGCCTGCTAACTTAACATAGAGTTTGGCGGTCTATTCGACCAAAACTCATATTCGGAACCCTGAAGATTCCCATTTCTACCTCTTCAGGACCCCCCCGCCCCCCCCGCATCTTCGACCAACATGCCCTCCAAGGCCCTGCGAAGTTGCGGCCGAGAGTCGGCTGCTGCTGTGCGTCGCTGTTCTGGGCCTGTCTGGGGCTTCCGGGTTTAGGGGCTAAGGGGCTAAAGTTTAGGGGTTTCGAGGTTAGGGGCTTAGGGGTTTAGGGGCTTAGGGGCTTAGGGGTTTAGGGGCTTAGGGGTTTAGGGTTTAGGGGTTTAGGGTTTACTGTCTCGGGGGTTAGGGTCTGGGGATTGGGATTGAGGGGTTTGGGGGGGCTTCGGTCCACAAGAGTGCCGAAGTTGGAGGGAACCTCTGCGATGAAGCCACGACATCACAAGGAACATGTGTACATACATACATACATACATACCTACGTACGCACGTACATACATACATACATACATACATACATGCATCATGTGTGCATATCCTCTATATATATATATATAATTACATATACTGTATAGTATACCATATCTTGGCAACTGTATAAGCAGAGGTGATAGAGTATATATTATGGTGTATACCACATTCTAAACAAAAGCATATATCATATATCAAGTACGTTACACTACATAAAAGTTATTCTTATTGATCTTTGCTGAAGACCGATCCAGTGCCGTGGATTCGTCCGGGTTCGACTAGATTCGAAAGTCGAAAGGGCTGGACTGCGTTTGCTTTGTAATGAGTAATGTAGCAAGGTCGCTAATTTTGTTGAGGACAGACAGGCAACTTCTCGATCCCAAGCCCAGAACGTCTGGGACACACCGTGCCTTCTCTGCCCGCCACGAGTTCCGCAGTGTCCGACGAAGCTCCTTTTCTTCTTCCGCCGTCCTGGCACAAAAGACTTGAGCTTCGGAAAGCAGGGAACAATAATGCGGAACGTTAACTAGTAGGATCCGCATTGCAGTGGCCCCTAGATAAGGCACGCCTGGCTTCTGAAACAACCCTTTTTGGACTACCTCCGGTCCCCAGGCCTCTTCTGAGCCCTTGGGTCTTGTTGGAACTCATCCCTCCCTGGCCTTCTCTTGTGCCGATGGTCCAACTTGTGGAGCATCTGCAGTCAAAGTTTAAGGTTTGGGGTTCTGGGGTTTAGCGCTCTCGGGTTTGGGGGCCGTAATCTAACCGGGTTTAGGCTTTCGGGGTTTGGGGTCAAGAAGTGAGGATACTACGATAGGTTATCGCAGGGAAATGGTGTGAACTATGTTGGCAGACTGACGAACTGCCAGCTTGTGACTGCGCAAGCTGGCTCGGGAACGGAACAGAAGCGCAAACCAGGCGTCTGGAATGAAGGAGAGGGGGCAGCTCTGGCGAACCAGCAGAACATCGGTTTGTTTGTCACTCGTCGCGTTGCAAAGTCGTTGGTCGTTGATGATTTTTGTATCAGGTTCGGGGCGTGCTGTGGACTTCCGGAGTGCCTTCTCGTGGGTTACGGTTCCGGTCGAGAGGGGTAGGTTCTGCCGAGTGTTGCCTGGCTTCAGTAGATCTAACAGACTTGAGCGTTCTGCGACCGCTGCTACGGCATGTGCGCGTTTGATGTCACGGGTACGGGTTGCTTTGCCGCCCGGCTTGTGGCCTACGGACACGATTGTGACATGATTGGGCTGCTGCGGATTCTCCCAACTCGGCGACCTAAACTCAAAACCTTATAAAGCCTTGGAGCCCTAAGCCTATCCCGAATTTCAAGCAGGTTTGCCACCAGGTCCCCGTACGTCCGGAGGTCCAGGTTCCAGGTTCAAAGCGTTGATTCCTGGGAGAAGCACATAAGAACTGCTGCAACACCTGCTTCGTCTCAATCTTTCTTAAAGAACTTTTATGATAACATTGGTTATATTATCAATCATTATTTAAGTTTAAAGAAGTCTTTGCCAATCGGTCTCACTCTTCGCCCGTGCCTTTGCTTCCGTCGCGAGGCACACATGTGTGTGCATGTGTGGGCATCAAAATGAGTCATTGCTGTGTTTCTTGCTTGGTATTAGAACCTTGCTTATGGAACCAACCACACACTGCGAGAGGTTTCCTAAAGTTTGTTACATCCGTTGCACTTGCATCTGTCCCTGTTCGTTTATCCCACGCCGTGCCAACCGAACTATCCATAGAGGAACCGGTGGTATGTGCCAATCTAAACTGATCCTGATTAGAGTGGCATTTGTGACAGGGTGCGCGCACTCGTGAGCCTCCACTTTTCTGCATCTTCTTTACCTCAAGCTTGCACGATTCCCCGTGCGTAGTCCAACATGGAGCCTGCCCAGACTCGCTCATCTCGTTCATCGTCTTCTTACGGAAATCAAAGAAGGAGCGATCCCGCCCCGCTGCTCGGACTGCGATTCCGCGTCGTCTCGGTGGGCATGAGACTTTTCCGATGGCGCTGGCAACACGACAGCACACGACAACTGTCGAGAATTAACGCCAAGGATGACTCCAGTAGTGGCCGGGTTGCAATCGAGTCCCGCACTCGCCATGCAAATCTTCTAAAGGGCACCGGCCAAGTAGGCACAGGAAGCTGTACGGTATGATACATTGCCCCAAGTAGGAGGCAAAATCTCTGAAATTTTGGAAGCTCCAGCGGCCCGTCTGACTAAATGGTTCAAAGGTGGAGAACAGGGGTTTCAACCCGTTTGGTATGCCCCCGGTCATGGGTAGTGAAAGTATGATGGTTCCTCGACCGAAATTGTAGGCTTATATGTGTATGGAAAAAGAGATTTTCGGTCATTTACCATCTTTGAAGAACCTTTGAATCCCTCGCCAATCCCCGTTTGTGTTTCCTGAAACCATGACATGAACTCTCCCTCACTCTCCTTTCTACAATGCCAACATACCCCGATGGAGAGCCCAAACAACCCGGTGGCCGCTGTCGGTTTAGGGTTTAGGGTTTAGGGTTTAGGAAACCCTAAACCCTAAACCCTAAACTCGTCTGAGGGCCGCTCGATTTGTTAGACCTTGACGTCTTTCGAAGGCAGTCTCACCTGGGAGGAGCAGGCAGTGTATCCAGTGTTCCAGGCTCCACAAACCTCCATGTGTGCCTTCCACCTCACCTCCAGCGTTTGCAACCCGAGAGAAACCAGAGTCTTCCACTTATACTTATATGTCTATATGTATGTTATCAATACGTAAACCTAACACCATGTGCGTGTATGTATATATGACATATATACATACATATGCATAGTGCAAGAGTATTAAACATGATAACAATAATCTGTTGTAATGGTACTAATAGTAATGCTAATACGAATACGAATACTAAAACTAAAAACAACAAGCATAATAATCGTAATAGCAATAATAATGACAAGGATGAAGATAATAATGGCAATGATGTCAAGAAAAAAGTGCTGTACAATATCTGGAAAATACATTACACACAACATATAAGAAAATACCGACCATGTATTGAACATATATATATACACACACTGGCATAGAACGCATAACACATATGCATACAGAAAAGATAACTGGCAATATGCAATAAACAATGTGTAAAAGAAATTGCGACATAGAAAACATACTCTATGTGTATAGATGTACAGTATGTGCATATACATATATACATGAACATACATATATGAAGATACATCATATACATAACATATAAGTATCAGAAGTTAGCATATTCGTGTATGTATAAATATATATATATATATATATACAATAATATTCTATTTAATATGTGTAGCGTAGCCTAGAAGAAGTATATAACTTTAACACCCAAAACCATAAGGAAACTTGTGATATACAGTACATAATATATAACTTTTCATATACAACACATTATATGTAATAGCTAGTTCAAGACAATATAGTATGTAACACATATAGATGTAGTGTATACTATATCATGAATAATGTACACAATGGAATGTGTGTAGACATAAATGACATAAACAATGTGTTTTCGAACATAGAAACATATACATAAACTGCGAAAGCGCTCTAAGCTCCAGTCCCATCTTCCGCAGCACCGCACCTTGCACCAAGCGGTCGCGGGTTGGCAGCATATAAGAGCATACTAGTACTAGAGTATACCATTGTGTAAACAGTGGGTCATTGTATAAGGAAACATGTTACAGTCTTGTAGTACGATGGGGCATCATACTCTGCCGCGTGTTGCAGAAGACTACACCGTCAAGGCACGTCGTTGCTGCGATGAGTCTAAAGCACCAAAGGCTGAATGGGGCTCGCAGCGAAATTTGAGAGTTTAGGGTCTTGTGTTTCGGGTTACTGCCGTCACCCCATTGAGCACCGGAAGGAAGCAAGGAGACGCCACCGTTGAACCGTCGATGAAGCTGGCAACCCCAAGCTGTTGACCAGTCCTGTGGACTCTGAGTCTAAAAGCGTCTCATGCACACGGTATGCTCTAAACCCATTGGCAAGCGGGTCCGCCTGGCATCAAAGCCTCGGCACACCGAAAAACACATGTGGCTTCATGCCATGCGGGGGATCTCAGGCACCTGAAGGTCGGAAGACTGATGTGCTGCTGTCATAGACCCCGAATACAGCTTCGAGGCTGGGGGACCTGATCGTAGTGTGGCCCAAGACATGAAACAAAGCAGCGCTACCCTCTTCACTCGCGAGCTCCTGTGCAAAAGCACCAGGAGAGAGGGAGCGAGAGCGAGATAGACAAACGGAGAAACAGAGCGATTCCAAGACAGATGTGGTAACCTGGTAACCCACTCGATTGCTCTGAATCTCAGCTGAGCTTAGGCCGCAGCAAGTCCAGCACGCCGATCCTGGACGCACCAGAACGGGCTACGTGGCTACCCGCGTGTGTGCCAAAACTCCTTTTCAAGGGGGGACGCGGCGAAAGCAGGAGAACCGCGCCCAATGGAATCGAAGGGTCGCACCTCGCGCCTCCGGAACAAGTTTTGTGCCATTACTTTAGATCCTACTCCCAATCCCTGGCAAAGCATGGTCTATGCTGCCAAACCTCCACCTACTCTGTGATGTTCCAATCATTTCTAGACTTCTTTGACAAAATGGGACTTTCCCGAAAATAGGGGACACGAATATAGTACCCTAAATAGTAGGATCCTTTTTTACAAGGACCCCCCAAAATTTCGGGTACCTCAAATTTTCGAAACTCTAAACCCTAAACCCTTTATAGAACCCTAATATGTCTCTTTAAGGAGCCCTTGTGGATCCCTCTATAGAACCCTAATATGTCTCTTTTAAGGAACACTTATGGATCCCTTTAAAGGTGCCCCGAAGTTTCGGAACCTCCCAAACTGCCGAGCGGGAGCTGCCACCTTGAACCCGGAAAGTTGCATGTGCCAGGCTTGGGACGCTTGAATCTTGGAGTTTAGGGTTTAGGGATTCGGGTTTAGGGTTTAGGGTTTAGGTTTTTTTTTTTGTTTGCGGGCCCTTTTCCTCCCTGCTACAGTCGGAATACCTGTTAGGTAGAGCCTGGACTAGGTTTAGGGTTTAGGGTTTAGGGTTGGGAGTCGATCTTCGGGAAGCACATGCTTCGACTGAAAGCGTTGCATCTCACGCATCTGACTCTTCGACCCCACTGACCACAGATCACACCTCCATACCCTTCCGTGTCCTGGTCGTGATCGAACGTGGCCGGCACAATCCTTCGTCGTGCAGCACAACTGTGGCACTTCTATTGCTTTTGGGCCTAGGGCTTCTTCTGACAGAGAGGAGCCGTTGAAATCTTGACACCAAGATAACATCCAAGCAAGCGTGCTAAAGTGGGAGTATCAACGGCAGGGGGACTGTGACAGCCCCCACGGAGACCTGTCTTTCCACGACAGCAAGCAACCCTTCCGGGGATGAGGAAGCAGTCCGACTGCATTCGCTGCCGGCATAACATCCCAAGGTAGAGCTCTGAGGATGCGGCCTGCCCAGAGGCTGAAGGCCTGGCAAAAGGTCTTTGGGAAGTGTGGGGAACGGTAGGGAAACCGAGGCTGGAGGAGAAATTGGGGGCGTGACATAGGTTGGGATGCTCTTGAAAAGTTTATTCGCAGAATGACGGGAGAAGGTGCCTAAGGCTGCCTGATGGCACCTGGATTCTTTTAATCTCGACCGCACCTGCCCGCGAATCCCGAAACAACTGATATGTGAGATATTCAGAATCCGACCCCGAAAGCCCCAAGTGAATCTGGATCCATGACAGACATGATTCGGAGTCCCAGGTGGGAAGCACTTCGCACAACACCTCCCGATCTCTGAGAGGGCTCTGACTTCTCCGGTGCGCAGAGCCACAGCTGCTTCTGAACGCCAAACCCAAACCCCAAACCCTAAGATCCTGGAATCCTCCAAAGGCCATGGGGTGCCTCGCAACTGCCTTTGGCCGCTCTCCCCGCTGCTCCGGGCTTTAGGATAAGCCTCCTCCCTGGGAGTCGGTTTTGCATTTACAGTAGGATTATTTTATGGGATTCTACATATTGAACCCCCAAAAAGGAACCGGGGTACAATAAACCCCATAAAGTTGGAAACCGGATTAAGGCCAAAGAGAGCTGGGATTCCCTATGCATTACTCTTAAGGATTGAGGCCATTGGGTTTCCAACTTTTGGGCTTTTACTGTATGTTCTCCACGGTTTGGCTCCAAGGTTTCTCGCTCCTTCCAGGTATTTGGGCTGTTCTGGAGATCTCTTCCTTCTGCGATCTAGAGACTACGCAGAGCTTCGGAGTTGACCAACATTTCTCATCGCCTCTTCGCCTGACTGCTCGCGCTCGCCCTGCTGACTTACAGAGTAGGCTTCCATTATTATTATTACTATGATAGTAGTAGCAGTTGCAGTGGCAGTGGCAGTGGCAGTGGCAGTGGCAGTAGCAGTAGCAGTAGGAGTAGGAGTAGGAGTAGGAGTAGTAGTAGTAGTAGTAGTAGTAGTAGTAGTAGTAGTAGTAGGATGCTTCATCCGTTGCTTCCTTCTTTCTCACCCTTCAACCTTTCTCCGCTCATTTGTATGTCCTTGCTCGCTCACTTCCTTGGCTTCTTCCTCCCCTGGCTCTGTCCTTCCTCCCGTGCTTCTGCTTCCGGCGTTCCTTCCTTTGTGTACTTTTCCTCGCACCTTCGGCAATCCCTCTCAATCCTTTCCTACATGCCGCTCATAATCCTTCTAGATGCCGATTCAAAACTGCTGGAATGCTCGTTCACTCCTTCAGCGCAAATGTGTGTCAGTTACTTCGATCGTCACTGATTAACGGTTTTCTGGCATTATTGAAGTCAGGACATCAATCCTGACCAGCCACACACCTGACATTTTCCAGGTTTGCCTTACATCAGGCGCACACAGCATCCTGGTACCAGAATGAGCCGAGGCTGCGGCGGTTCCTCCACCTCGGAAGCCGGCGTCTGCAGCTGACACTTTCTTCGACTTTCTGCAGCACGATGTTTGATGTTGACGCATAGTCACACGCGTTCATGCCTTGTGCGAGCATGCCAAAAACCGTCGGTTCTTGCAGCACTTTTACCTCTTTGCACAACAGTGCACAACGACATGCGCATGGCGATGATGATGATGATGATGATGATGCTGATGCTGATGCTGATGCTGATGCCGATGCCGATGCCGATGCCGATGCGGATGCTGATGCTGATGCTGATGCTGATGCTGATGCTGATGCTGATGGTGATGGTGATGGTGATGGTGATGGTGATGGTGATGGTGATGGCGACGGCGACGGCGATGGCGATGGCGATGGCGATGGTGATGATGAGGGTGACGGTGACGGTGACGATGACGCTGATGCTGGTGCTGATGCTGACCGTGACGGCGACGGCGACGGCGATGGTGATGGTGATGGTGATGGTCATGATCATGACAAAGTAAAACGTCGCTCCATGCGCCCACACCCTTATAGCAAAACTTAGTGTCGCCCCGGTAGTCGCCCTTATCATAATCAATACTCCTTACAGCAAACCCTGTTGGCAACCCCCCGGTAGCATGCCACGTCCGGCCCAAGGCTGAGAAAGCGGCGAAAGCCATGGTTTGCGAGGCTTCGCTCGGTCCTGGACTCTGGGCTCGTCGAGGGTTCTGCTGATAAAGGGGTCTCAATATTTAGAATAGGATTTTGAGGCCCATTGTACTATGAATATATGATACATCTTGGTGGCCAGAAGCATTAGGTAGGCAGCATTGGGGTTTAAAAGGTGTAGGCTTTGCGTTGAGGGCCTGTATCCTTTCGCATTGGCATTGGCGGTTGTGCGTGTGTAGTTGACTGCAGGGTTCTTGGGAATCGGTGGCGGCCAACACTTGCAAAGACCTTCTCGATCTCAAAGCTTCTGGAAGTTCCAACCCATCTCAGAGTTCGAAGTCTTTACAGGAGATGTGCACTCGACACCTGCACGGAGCTCTAGCATCCTGAACCCCAAGGATGCGCACAGAACCCTGCCAAAGGTCCTGGACCCTAAGCCCTAAAGCCACCAAAAAGGAGAAGCACAGCTCGCTTTGCCATCTCAGCTCGCTCGCCTTGGGAGGTCTGTCTTAGTAGCCGCTCCCTGGCTTCGGCGGTCCTTGGCGGCGCGAGACGGTGCAGGAGCCCAGGGCTCAGAGCTCGGCTGAAGGCAGGGAGGGCTCGGGGCAGAGGCAAGGACTGCTCCTTGCCTCTAAGATTGAGGCGCTGAAACTAAGTTGGTTGCTCGGATTCCGGTCGGATAGCGCGGAGGATCAGTTTGTAGCTTACAAAGAACCGCCAGGAGTCAGGATTTCCGAGTGCTTTTGCAAGGCAGGCGGGACCAAGGCTAACAGAGCGAAGCCATTCGAGCATTTCAGGGCTTAAGGTTTAGGGAGCCTGCTACACCCAACCACTGGTGAGACCCTGTCGCTACCATCAAGACTCAAATTGAGGACGGGCCGTCCCAGCTTGCACAAACGGCCATCGTCTAGAGTGGAACCTCTGACTCTAGCGAAGCCGCTGACCTTGAACCATCCCTGAGCCTACTTTCCAGAAACAGCTAGACTCCTAGACCTACAACGGAGCTATCTGGGCATTCCCCGTGCTGCCCCAGCTTGTGGTTTCAAGGCTTGGCCCCTCCGCAGACCTTCATAGTCATCCTTAACGCAGGCCTGGTCTCCTACGCATTTTGTTTAGGATCCTTATGGTTTCGCGTTCGGCAGTGCTTTCGGATGCCCGGTGTTCCGACAAGCCGCCCGTTCGCAGCCTGCAGATCCTGGCAAGGCGACTTCAGCAGGCGGGCCGGAGATGATTCTGAACCCTAAACCCTAAACCCAAAACCTATAACTATAAGAGGCCATTATTCTACATACTTTTGGGATCCAGGTAGTAGTTACATCTAGGTGTCTGAATCCAGCCGAACCCTAAACCAATTCTTGGGGTGTGACGGTTTCGGGGTTGAGCGCCAGGCGTCAGAAATGAAGTCACGTCGGGGAACGACTGACCCGGCCCTTTACCGCAATCCTCAGCAACTACGGCTGGTGTCCAAAGCGATAGTTCACCAGTTCGCCACAGCACTGTTGAGTTCCTATTACCGGACGCAAAGGGGGTGTTTGATCGTAGCACCAAGATCAGAAACCCGCCAAGCTCAATCGAATCAATCAAGCCTACCCTTGAAGAAGGAAGCCATTCTTATTTTTGGCATCCGGCGCGGCAAAGACCGGGTACGAAATTGCTTGCTGCTAGCTAGACGAATGAGAGCAACAATGATACTAACTGTAGATGCTCCCTGAAGAAGAAGTATTGATTCTCATTGATGACAACAGCAATCCTACTGGCAATAACTAACATTACCCATAGGCCATAGGCATACTCACAGTTGTCATCAAGCAAACAGATCACGACAGAAGTAGTAATCATTGTACCGAACAGAAAGAGAACCCTCTGAAGAGGCAGAAGGTCATGATCAGCTTCATGATCAAGATTTGACAACCTGGGGCGCCAAAAGCATACCTGATGAAGCCTAAACCGTAAACCCAAATCCGTCACCCCCCAAGCAAACGGCCTTCAGCTGATGGGCCAGCTGCGAGGTCACCTGCTTTTTGACATGGCTTGTAGGATTTAAGGTTCGGGGCATAGTGGTTTAGGGCCTAGTTTACTACGATTTAAAGGTTGGGGCTGTTGTGGGCGACATCCATATCCATGGGGCTCGACAGATACTGAAACTGTCGGACAGTGCACGATAGACTGAAGAAAGAAACTGTGGCCGAAAATGCCGCGATTCCGGATTTGACACTACTTTCGAAGTAACACTTCAAATTTGAAGGTCGTAAGCTTGAGATCATGGACGGCTTGACAGCTCTTCGCCATCGCACCACGAAGTCCAAGCCAAGAACGCTAAAACAGGCCGAAAGTTGCTCAAGAACAGAAGCTTTGAGTCCCAGCCATTCAGGACTGGCGGTCTCAAGCAGAGAACCGAAATGATGAGCTTTGCTGGCCTGGCCATCAGGAGCAGGCCGGTCCTGCACCGACCTGTCGGAAGGATCGCTGAAGCTTGCAGAAGAACGTCCATTTCTGAGGATTTCAAGATGCTTTCGCGATGCGCAAGAGAAGAGAAGGGGCTGGGATGAAAGCTGAAGTTAACTGAGCGATTCTCCAGCTGAGCTTTGATTTGCCCATCTCCTTTAAGATTCATGAACGGTTTGGTTTAGGGTTTTCGGGAACCAATATTCCTGCAGCTGCTTCTCGCAGCGACGGATCTGCGAATTGTCTACACACGTCCCGTCTTTCGGTCTTTCTGTCTGTGCACGCGTGTGATCTCACCCGTGCTAATACAGCACATCCCACCTCAATACTGCGACCCAGTCGGAAGAACCTGTCCCGCCCCAGGAAGTGCACAAGCCACAACTTTCACCAACAAACCGGATCCAACAAAAACACAACAATACACAAAGTGGCCGTCGAGACACAGCCAACGGCAACTGATCAAAGCTTGAAATACTCCGGATCCGCCTGTCAGCGACCCACTGCCGAAACAGCTGAAGAGCGCAACCGAAAATCCAAAACAAACGTGAATTTGTTCAGGACTCGGGCAGTCCGAAGCACCCAGCAAAGGGAGCAGGTACTGAGCTCTGAAACCCCTTCCCGGCCCGGTCCCCCTCTGAATTCTGTCCGGGGCGCAGCGGCAGCTCCAGGTTCATTGCGTTCAGCCCGCGTCCGATGTTGGCAGACTGGCCGGGCTTTTGCATCACGACCGCAGTTCCCAACGGTCTCTGCTTGAAGGCAGGATGAGCCCCGAAGACGGAGGAGCCACAGATTATGTGAGTAGACTCGCAGAAATCGCTGGCCATCTTTGTCATCTTCGGCATGGCAGGTAAGGGTGCCCGGCTCGCAGCACCTGACTGCACGTCGCTACGGGTGGTGGGCAGGGAGTTCAAAGCTCTGCTAGGGTTTAGGGTTTAGGAAGTTTAGGGGTGTAGGGTTTGCGGTTTAGGAAGCTTCGGGGTTTAGGGTTTCTGTGTCTTCCCTTGTTGGGAGCGTTTGAGGCTGAGTCGAGGCATGGCGTCATTGTTGCCTCACGACTGGGGCTTTGGGGTATAGGTATAGGGTAGCCTACTTATAATAAGGAGATTTGCTGTCAATCCAGGCATGGGATTGGCTTCGGAATTCTAGGTTACTTGTTTCGTACGGGCTCACGTCCTTCATGCCAAGCGTGCTCTACCGGGCTATGGAGAAAGCCGGAGACGCAATCGGCATCCTGGAAACCTCTCCAATCTTTTACGCACAACCCCGCCAGCTATCCACTCTCTGAGCCCGAAAACGGATTAGGGTTTAGGGCTTAGGGCCTTTAGGGTTTAGGCCATGTCCCTGGAACCCGTCCCTGCACCTTGGCGGTCTGCGGACCCAGGAATCCTGGCATCACGTCGGTTTGGGAGCCCAGGGCGAGGGGAACCGAGGGGTCTCAAAGCGAATCCAGCAAAACCCTGCATCTTCTCCGCAAACTGAGTGCCGGACAGCCCGACCTCCGCAAAGTCAGGGTTGTGGGGAAGTCATGGGCAGACTCGATTCGCCGGCGGGCAACGTGAGGGTGTCTTGCACTGACGATGGATCGGAGCTCGTGATTTCCAGATGGCAGGCACTCATGTCCGGAAAGTCTCAAAGCCTTACCTGTAAGCTTCCACAGCGTGACCCGCGAAATCTTGAAACCGCCGCGCTTGGATCATGCCTGCTGCACTTCATGATGCTGCAAAGCGCCTGGACGTCGGGTGTCTCAGTTCTCAGAGGCCAGGATGGGAGATGACCCCAGTCAAATCTGGCAGTGACCATGCTAAGCTTCACCCAACATGGGGAACCCCAAGCTCCCAACCCAGATCTGATGTCATACACAATATCTCTCGGGTTTGCAAAGCTGTCGGGATCCAAGAGAATAAGTACGGGGCTTCAAGCATCAGACCAAGATTTCAAGACTTGCTGCCTCATGTGCGCTACGCCAGGGCTGGAAGGTGCACTGCACCTTGGCCTTGCCACACTTCGACAGACCTTTGTAAACATTGCTTCAACTTTGAAGCAACCGCTGAACCACCACTCACCCTTCACGGCCAGACCCGAAACCCTCTCCACATGCCTGGCGGGGACGGCTGCGTGGGATCCCTGTCAAAGCAGGCCAGTGTGCGCTGGCTTCAGTCTCGTTACATAGACTTTGAACAAACAACTTTCGCGCTCCCACTACCAGGTACATGGGCCTCAGGGCCCAAAGATGGGGGAAGGATTGGTAGGTTTGGGGTCGAGCGCGTGACTGGAATGATTGCGCCCTATCAGAACCGATGAGTGCGCCTTATGCGCCTTGAACTCAAGAGCCTGGTTCTGTGTTGTACAGTAGCAGCTGCAGATAGCCACCTAAAGCCTGTACATACCCTAAACTCCGAACCCTGTTAACCCTTTCCAGAGTTCCTGAGACTGGCCATCCTCTGTGAAAGGCTGTGTCTCCTGATCCTCGTCCTCCGGAGCCCTTCGTCTGTGCGACTGTCGGATCTGAGCGCGCCTCGGACCACGAGTTTGCCACTCGCTTTCGTGGATCTGGCGGGCCAGCTGATCCGCCTGCAGGCCAAGACAAGAAGAGAAGAATAACAATGACCAATAAAACCAAGAAAAAGCAGTAATCAGAACAGTACTCATGATTGAATAACGATCATCAAAACGTGCCAACAATCATGATGATGATTCATGATGACAATTGAAGCTTCAGAGCTCAAAGCACCACAGCACGGACGTCGCAGGGGGACGGCCTCCGCTCGCTGCTTGGGAGGAATGCAATTGGGATCGAGCTGCGTGGTGTAGTGATCCTGGAGCAGGCAACTGGCTCGGAAACAGCGACATGCCTTGGTACGCAGAAGCTGGCCCGAGCTGCTCGATACAATCTCAATCTTGGATTCTGGGGAAAGCAGTAAGTTCAGGCGTTCCGGTAGTTATAGGAGGCGTCAAGTCAGCTGTGGAACACAATGAAGCCTTCTGAACCGAAGCCTGTTTCCCCAGCCGGTCTTGAAACATCGAAAGAGCGCCAGAATCATCTCCGGCAGGCTCTTCGGATTTGTTCTCACCCTGAGCGGTGCGGTGGGCTGGTTGCGTTACTCATGGTTACATTCTGTAGAGTTCCTACATGACTAGCAGCATGGCACACTTCCAAATATCGAGACGACGAACGAAGAAAGCTCTCAGAAGAGCTCTCGGAATCAGAGAGAGAGAGAGAGAGAGAGGAGAGGGAGAGAGAGAGAGAGAGAGAGAAAGAGAGAGACAGAGACCGAACCGGGCACTTACGGCAGCCACATCCCGAACCCTTCATTCGGCCACCGGCTTTGCGTACATCATGCGACATGCCGGCCTCAGAAGAAGAAGGATCACAACTGAGCAGTAGGACATGAAGACTGGCAGAGCATGAAGCTCACCGACGTTTTCCTAGTTCTCCATTCCTTCTAGATTTTCTTGATCCTTGCATCACACGAGTAATCGTAGTGCTTGTGGACTGAGCCCAATATTATTCCTGACGATGTGCACACAAAACCTAGTTGGACTCAGACGGGTTCCGTAAAGAGCTCTGAACGCGGGATCCTAGAGGCCCACCAACCCTTGGCCGAAATATCCACCCGCCTTCTCTGCCTCCGAAGTCCAAACATGTCGGGTTTTAGGCTCGTGGAGTCCCATCCGAAGGATGATGCTGGCCGAGGGCCCAGCGCCACGCGTCACACCCTTGAGGCATCAAGCGCACAATTAAAACCATGGCCCCATGCAGCTAGCCAAATCATTCCGGCTGGACAATTTCGGATGGTTTTTGATGGATGTTTGCTGCAAGTTTTGGAATATGAGAGAAAGAGTTTACCGATCCCATGTTGAACTCGGCACAAGCCACTGCAAGAGAAAAGAGCACCTAGAGGCCGCCTGGGGGAGTTTAAACGACATGGCCCACGCCCTGCGGTGAATTCCGTGTCTCACTCCAGACTCTAGGTGTTGTTCACTCGCCAGGGAAAAGCCGAAACGTTGCGGAAGACGTCCATCATCAAACTTCATGAACAAATGTCCGATTCCCCCCCCCCCCCGCGTGCCGTGGTCTTCAGTCAGATAGGCACAATGCAAGAGGCTTGAAACAAAAACAGCTTGAGCTTCACCAGCTCATGTCCGGTCCTGTAAGACTACACGACACAGCACCACTGTAGATCTTCATAACATGTCTGTTTCTTCCCAACTTGTGACAGTTGGATATGCAATGATATGCATGAAGTTGTGATGGCTGCCAATTGCCACCCGGAGCGAGCTGCCGTGCGAAAGCCGGCTTCCTGCGTTAGCTGCTAGTTCCTGCTAACGTTCCTTTGAGCCCTTGCAAGTGCAGAGACCAATGACAGTCCCGAATCGTCCCGAATCCATGGTCATCAATGCTGTCAGAAACCCTCAAAGCGGACCGCAACCTCTCAGGCTCTGGGTCGCCTCTTTTTTCCACGAGCGTAGCTTGAGGCTCGCGCTTGTGAAGGAACTGGCGGTGAAGCAGCCGGCTTCTCCCTGGCGGGTGTCGCGCACTTCTGGCACCTGCCATGGCTTGTCGCCATCCAAGTAGTAGATCAACGGGAGCAACTGCCGCTCTGGCTGCTGCTCTCCCTCTCCCGCCCCTGAGAATCACTCCTGTCGTGCGGTACCTCATGCGCCAGGTGCGTCCATGAACAAGGCAGAAGCTTCATTCGATAACAAGAACGGATCTCTCTCAAGAAGACGGTCGTTTGTTTTCCTTTGTTGCTTTGGAAAACTCGGCAAGCACTCTGAGCCTCTCGCTGCTTCTGCCCAGCAGCATCAGAACTGTGAACCCCCCTGGCTAAATCTGTAAGGTCCGGCGTGACGGCATTGGCGTCGCAGAAAGCAAAAGCTGCACAATCTTCTGCTACTGGAAGGATCTCAGTACCACTAGAAGGTCTGTCGCACTGCCATTGCAGCAGGACTGGATGCTCGACACTGCAGAAGAACTGACCCTTCCCCGCCGAGGAACCCGGCATCAGGTCACGGTGGAAGACTGCATGACGACAACATGTTGTCGTTGCACACCAAAGCGGAAACCAGCACTGATAGCCAGGGCATGCCGTGTAGCGCCCAAAAAGCAGCTGCACTGCCAGATCATATCGAGAGCATTGTGACCCTGTGCTTGACCAGAAGCACGCCACCTTTGCATCCAGATGCCGCTGTCCTCCCAGAGCTCAGCAAACTAATTCGGGCATATTCGCGCTCTGGCGCACCCATGCCACCCTTGTCTCACCCCACTCCCTCGGCCCAACTAGATTTGCACTTGGCGCAGCCAGAGCGTCCGTTTGGAAGACTGCATGACGACAACATGTTGTCGTTGCACACCAAAGCGGAAACCAGCACTGATAGCCAGGGCATGCCGTGTAGCGCCCAAAAAGCAGCTGCACTGCCAGATCATATCGAGAGCATTGTGACCCTGTGCTTGACCAGAAGCACGCCACCTTTGCATCCAGATGCCACTGTCCTCCCAGAGCTCAGCAAACTAATTCGGGCATATTCGCGCTCTGGCGCACCCATGCCACCCTTGTCTCACCCCACTCCCTCGGCCCAACTGGATTTGCACTTGGCGCAGCCAGAGCGTCCGTTGACAGATTCTGGAACGTCGACGTGGCCGAAGGTTTACATGGCTTTGCGGGAATGGACATGGCACCCTGAGCACCCGTCTCGGCCGACCCCGACCCGGCAAGCTGAGGACTCAGGATGCCTGGACTATGATCAAACGGAGAGCACGAGGCTCATAGGCGCCTCTCGGGGCCCCAAAGAGTCTGGCAGGACACCGCAGGTACCTCGGATGAAGGTGCCCAAGGACTCCACAGCCACCCCGCGTCTACGGACAGTCCGCATGTGCCAGGAGCAGGGATGGAGCTGCAAACGATGTGCCGCGAGCCTAGGAAGCTTCAAGCGTCTCACCACCATGCAGCCTCGAGGCCTCCCAGGAAACCTGTAACCAACACCTGCCTCGATGCGGTTGGGCCCGCCCAAAACCACCACCGTCAAGGAGCAAGCTCGACCATTCAGCCCCTGTAAACCGGAAGAAGGGATCTTCTGGATGCAAGTCCTGAAAGTCCGAACAGCCCGACACGAGGGCTTCGAGGCGATCAGTCATTACCCAGTTGGCGACACGTGGTGCCAAAGCAAGACACGTCTAGATGCTTGAGGTCGCCTGTGCGTGCGTACTTAATCCTCTCCCGGCCGGTGCACGAGAGACCTTTGTCGGCAACAGCAGTGGACGTTCTTTGCCGGTGCAGTCTTGAACGGCCGGCTACTGCCACCGTACCTAAGGAATCGAGCGAACAATCGAAGCCTGTTTCGCTTCAACCGCGACAGCCACTCTGGACTGCTGCACATTTTCCGCTCAACACCTCGTCGTTCCGGTGCGGCCACTGAATCCGCTGAGCGCTACGCAGGTACACATGCCTGTGCGAGTGTATGCAAATGGGGCACCATGGCTAGCAGCGGTGAGATGCTTCTGGCGAGTTTCGGGCCGAGTCACAAAGTGACCTGGGACAGCCACCGGCAGAAGCGTCCGAGAACGCTGCCTCATCTCTTCACCGCACGCTCCCACTGCTGGCGATCTGACGACATCTCAACTGACAATGCAAGCCCACAAGCATTGATGGCAGGCTAAGAGACAAGGACGCAAGGCGTGTCGGGAGTCCATCAGTGCGGAATCCGTCTATGCGGCTCCTACCTGTTTGCCGCTTGCTTGGCACAACAACCGCCGCCTGCATTTCAAGGCTGGAAGTGTCTGGTGTGGCTCCCACGGGCACACACTGCCTAAACTCGCTCTGGTACAGTTACGAGTGGGCATTTACGCTTGTATAACCCTAGCATGTCCGGAAAGGGACTGGACGGCAAGACGAGCAACGAGTCTTCGATCACAATCCCGGCTTCTATGCAATGCCCGCAGATGCTTTTAGCTGGCGATTCGAACTACAATGCTACGCGTGGCAGTGTGACCTTCTAACATCATGTCTCTTCCGGCGGAAGTCCGATTTCGAGAAGCCATGCACTGGTGCATAAATACTGAACAAGCTGCTTGAGCTTGGCGCAAGAATGGCACGACAGCGGAGGCATTGCAGCTCAGGCACACATTGCGGCAGAGCACTTGTATGCATGTAATATCTGTGCAAGGAGCAGGTATTGCTGACACTGCTCGCATAGGCTTGGTTTTGGGCCTCAGCGTAGACGACAGGACTCTTAAGCGCAGGCATCCGCAAGATGGGTCACGAGGGTGAGTCCTGCAGCCTTCCACAAGGTCCCTTGTTCTCAGGTTCTTACTAGTATCACCATTCTGGCACAGGAGAGAGAGGCTCGACTACGCGTGCCAAGAGGAGACGTCATCGAATCTCATGCACTGTGAGTACGTAGAAGCTGGTTCTTGCAGGCATGGGCTCGCGAGTGCATTGGCGTTCTGTAGACCTTGACACCGCCACCACACGAGCTCGCATTCGAGCACCCACCTCTGATCAAATCAAAGGTGCCGTGACGGCAATTCACAGCGCAAACCACGGGCGCATCGACCTCGCTGCGCCCAGGCATCCTTGCCCGCAGTCCAGGCCGACCAGGACGTTCATGTGGTCTAGCACGTCCAGTAGTCTGGTGACCACATGCGGCCGAACACTCCTCTCTTTGCCGAGACGGACGCCTCAGACCCCGGTGTTCAACAGCTGTGCCTTTAGCATAGCCAGGACAGAGCCAGCATGCGGTGTCACTGCAAGAGTGCACTTCGAAACCGAAGACGGCCGTCTTCTCAGGCAGACCCTTGCCCAAACTTCTTCAGTTAAGACTGGTATATTATTGCAGGCCAACCAAACAAGAGCTATCAACTGCAGCACATCTCGTACTCTCAACCAGATTTGGTCACTTCCAAAACATGCATGCGATCCCCAAGCTGTGGAAACTGGGTAGTCAGGAAACTCGCATGCACTGCAGACCGGCTAAATTCGCTGGCTTGGCAGTGTCGTCTACAGGCCGCCGAAGCCTGCATTAAGCAGACCAGTAGCGGTGTCGGGACCGCTGTGGAGGTTGCTTCTTGCTCAGCGCCGTGCCTGAAGCCAGTAACGCCTCAGTAGGACGAGGCTTGTCGCCCTTGGACTAGGACTGCGATGGCACAGAAGGCCTTGTTGACACGAGCCTCGCGAGTTCCACATCTTAGGCAACTCAGCAGATGAAGCACTCGGGTCGGCCGCACTTAAGCCACGGCGTCTTTCCTAAAACCGGCTTTCGACTGCATTTGCTCCGAGAGCGCACTCGCCGAGCCGGCTTGCACCATCCAGCATGCAAACAAGTACAGAGGTACGCGTAAGACAGCTTCCTCTCAGCAGATGGCGGACCTCGAAAGTGCAAGCAGCGCTGTGTGCCGGAGCAGCACAAAGGCTTTTGCAGGGCAAGGATTCTCATCTTCCCCTCGCAGCTGAAGTCCTCAAGTTCCTAAAGCTACCTCTGGTTCTCAGAGCTTCATCTGCCGATGCGCTGCGGAGCTGTTCGCTTTCAAGCTGCGGCTCTGGGACGGAAGCATTCCTGTGGATCCTGAAGGCCCGAGGCTCGCATGAGCCTCAGAGACACAGCGAAGAGCTCAGATTGGGGCCCCACTTAGCCCAGCCTAGGAAGCCTCAGAGCATAAAAAAAGCTTTCTGTGTAGGACAAAAGCACTCCAAGACGGAACCTTCGAAGATCGTCGACACATCAGAAGGACCTCAACCAGCCCGGGTCGAATGCCTCACAAGCCTAGCGGAATCGTTCTGAAGTCCCTGAGATACACTTCAAGTCTGTGCTGCGTGCCTTGGGGAGGCTGCAGGCAGTCAAAGCGGGGCACAACGCACAGAGCTCCAGCTTTCCACAAAGACCACAGGGAGAACTGCAACACGGTCCAGGCCACAGCCGCACTTGGAGGATTCAGAGAGTTCGTGGAGTTCTCCTAGCTCCCGGCGTCGTTGACGAGCTCTGCTGGCAAACTCGTCTGGAACATGTTGCTGCAAGGAGATGGGCCCAAACCGCAGAAGAAGGGCAACTTGCACGCAGGGTGTTGACATGAGCTTCGGCGGGCAGGAAAAGTTCGCAGTGACAAGCTTCGGTGTCCAGTGCGAAAGCTGCAGCAGCGGAAGGAGCCAACCTAGCCGCATGTGAGAAGTGTGCTGCTACTGCACCGCAACAGTCCCAGGGCTCGTCGTCACTTCATGCAATGCCGAAAAACTGTGAGGGTTGCTGTCGATGCACGGGCTCCAGTCCACCCTGTCGGATTTGGCAATGCATCTGATGCCTTGGAAGTCGGCGCAGCACGACCTCCATCTGGGAAGACCGGATTCGTGACCAATGGCATCTCGTGGCCAGGTCGGATGCCTGCATCAAAGCACCCAAAGTTCCGTTACTTCTCCAGCCAAGGACTGAGGCTGCGCCTCAGACGCCGCCCTGCTAGCCCAAGCTTGGCTATTCAGGCGCAGCAAAGCCTACCCGGACGCTGAACTTCCACCTGCCGTCGGGACGGAACTACGTCATACTACGACAGGCCGATTAGAGCGAGGCGCTCGGCACAGGGAGACAGGACCGTGACCCATCACTTTGCTAAGACCCTTTACCTCGGAGTCCTCCCTGCAGGTCACACCGAGCCCTCTGGAGCCAGCGCGCAAGTCAGGCGAAAGTGGCACCAGGCACCACCCGACCCCTGCGCCTTCCTGGCATTCTCTGGTGTCATAGGCCAATGAGCCGCCTCAGTGTCGCCCCGATGGATCTGTACGCTCCGGAGGCCCTGGAGCGAGGCGATGTGACTCTCCTGGAAACGGAAAATGCGCACCTCTCGCGCTGCAGCCTCTGCCTCCCATCTCGCACCTCTCGCACCTCTCGCGCTTGCGCCTCAAGTCCAGCCTCGCATGTCTGGCACCGGCCAGCGGGCGCGCCGGCGGTGCGGTCTTGGAGGGGGCAGCAGGACACCATGAAAATCGCGTGGTGCAGGTCCAGCGCTAGCAGCCCACCAAAGCTACAGCAAGATTCCGAAAGCAAAGTCGCACTTTATTTGCGATGCAGCTGGCGCCATGATGCCCGTGAGTGTATGTCGTCCAGAAGCCCGCTTTTTGTAATGCCAGAGAGCGCAACAGCTGCCTGACACTGCACATGCCGATGAGAGCCAACTGCGGGAGAACACCACATCAAGTCTACAGGAGTCTATGAAATCTACGAGAGCTGCAACCTCGGAGTCTATTCCGGGGGCTTGACATGGCCTAGCAGCTTAGCGGCCGCGCCGTGATGCACCGTGGCACTGCGAGGACCCCAAAGTGAACGCCTCTCATGTCCTCAAACTCCTCGCCTCAATGCGACCCGAAGCCCAGGGCCTCCGGGAGGCTCCCGCGAGACACTCGAGGAGCTGGGAATGCTAGCGGCAAAGGCCCCCAGAGTCTGAAGCTCAAGCGACCGCCGAGTTGCTTAGGAAGCTGAGCTAACGGTCGTGATCTCGGTAGTATGGCTGGCTTCTGCTGAGGCGGCATGCGCTCAGGTTTTGTGTAGCTGTTGACATCACAACCGAGACGGCGATAAACGATCGGCTCTGCAACAACACGCAACACCCAGCGGCAAAGTAGCTTTTGCATCAAGACACAGGCTCAATCAACATCCACACCTTAGCGGCTGCTTCAAACACAAAACGGATCGGCCCGAGGAACTGGAGCTGGAGACTGCAGCATCAAACTTCAACCCGTCTCTGGACAGCCACCTCCGGCGATGCAGCGAGAGGACTCGAGCATCACTGCTTTTCGGTCAAACTTTCTCACAACCTTCGACACCGGGCTACTCGTAGCTGTGGCTCATTCAGCAGTCCGTGGACAGCAATAGACACCGCAGCACCCAGGTGAGGAAAACTGAATCTTGGTGTCAAGTAGACGTTAGTTCTGGGGTATCAGTTTCAAGCTTGCCTGCCGGCCCTAACTGCGATCTATTGTCCCGAGCTAGATGTCTAGCCAGCACGAGCGGCTGCCTTCGGCCTGAGCGAGGGCTTATGGTTCCCAGTCGCGAGCATCACCGCTGTTGGTTCTGCCGACAGTCGAAACTGTCTTGCGAGCTGCCATCTATCCCAAATTCCCATGCGAAACCTGCTGCACATGCTCATTTTTGCTCCGATGCTGCCTGGAGAACCCCAACCCCCTGCATTGGCAGGATCACAATGAAGTCTGCGCGCCTGCAGCGCCGGCAAGCCCACTGAAACAGCTTGGCCATGGCCATGACATGTTCACACACATGGACGTTCAACGGCTCCAGCTGAATCGAATGACCTAAATGCATTCGTTCGTCAAGCTCCAGAGAGTGCAGAGAGTACCCTTTCGGGGCACTGATGGGTTCAGACGACTGCATCACCCGCACCTGCAAGCTCACTTGACGTTGACACCCACAGCCTTCGACACCGGCCTACTCGTAGCTGTGGCTCATTCAGCAGTCCGTGGACAGCAATAGACACCGCAGCACCCATGTGAGGAAAACTGAATCTTGGTGTCAAGTAGACGTTAGTTCTGGGGTATCAGTTTCAAGCTTGCCTGCCGGCCCTAACTGCGATCTAGGGTCCCGAGCTAGATGTCTAGCCAGCACGAGCGGCTGCCTTCGGCCTGAGCGAGGGCTTATGGTTCCCAGTCGCGAGCATCACTGCTGTTGGTTCTGCCGACAGTCGAAACTGTCTTGCGAGCTGCCATCTATCCCAAATTCCCATGCGAAACCTGCTGCAGATGCTCAGGTTTGCTCCGATGCTGCCTGGAGAACCCCAACCCCCTGCATTGGCAGGATCACAATGAAGTCTGCGCGCCTGCAGCGCCTGCAAGCCCACTGAAACAGCTTGGCCATGACATGTTCACACACATGGACGTTCAACGGCTCCAGCTGAATCGAATGACCTAAATGCATCGGTTCGTCAAGCTCCAGAGAGTGCAGAGAGTACCCTTTCGGGGCACTGATGGGTTCAGACGACTGCATCACCCGCACCTGCAAGCTCACTTGACGTTGACACCCACAGCCTTCGACACCGGCCTACTCGTAGCTGTGGCTCATTCAGCAGTCCGTGGACAGCAATAGACACCGCAGCACCCAGGTGATGAAAACTGAATCTTGGTGTCAAGTAGACGTTAGTTCTGGGGTATCAGTTTCAAGCTTGCCTGCCGGCCCTAACTGCGATCTATTGTCCCGAGCTAGATGTCTAGCCAGCACGGGCGGCTGCCTTCGGCCTGAGCGAGGGCTTATGGTTCCCAGTCGCGAGCATCACCGCTGCTGGTTCTGCCGACAGTCGAAACTGTCTTGCGAGTTGGCATCTATCCCGGATTCCCATGCGAAACCTGCTGCAGATGCTCAGGTTTGCTCCGATGCTGCCTGGAGAACCCCAACCCCCTGCATTGGCAGGATCACAATGAAGTCTGCGCGCCTGCAGCGCCTGCAAGCCCACTGAAACAGCTTGGCCATGACATGTTCACACACATGGACGTTCAACGGCTCCAGCTGAATCGAATGACCTAAATGCATCCGTTCGTCAAGCTCCGGGGACTGAATCTTGCAGTCAAGCGGACGTTTGTTCTGGGGTATTAATTTCAAGCTTGCCTGCCGATTAAAACTGGGATCTACTGGATGGCTCTGGCGGTTACTGGCACGAGTACCTCCGGCCATGCTGCGAGAGGACTTCTGGCTCCCAGTCACAAGCATCAGCGCTTTTTTGAATCTGCTGTCAGTCGAAGTGGCACAGCAACACTCATAGTCACCAAAACTTTGGAATATGTCGGTGTCGACACTGCTGCCCAGCATATTTGTAGCCACACTGGCCAAAACGGGCAGGTAGACAGCGGGCTTGGTACCCGTCGTGGTTGAAAGATTTTGCGATGTTGAAGCAGTTCTCGCTGAAGAAACACGTTCCGCTGGAAGCTGGTGCATCCTGTTTCGTCGCGGGGAACATGCCGTCACCATCCATGAAGACTGCGACATCTCAGCGCCAAGCTTGCATAAGATCCGCACATCCACCTCAGCTTGAGTCGCTTAAGCAATGCCCTCAAGAGCTGCCTAAAAGTTTCGACGTGCCCTTTTCCGTGCTCGGCGGGCAGGTAGAATCATCACTCGGTGGGCATGAACACAACTGATGTGCCGGACGAGCCCCAAAGTTACTGTTTCCATCCTAGAACACCGAATCTGGCACGACCCATCCATCTGTTGGCAGGGTCGGATGACGGCCGGAGGTCCAAGCGCAGGCACGACAAGCCCACAACGACAACACGCCGCAAATTCAACTTTCACGAAGTCTGGCTGAGAAGACATCCGAGATCGCAGCAATGAGCTGAGCCGGCAAGTCTGAGAAACTGAGGTCTCACCGACGAGTGCAATGAGCCATGGCCGTGGCTTGCCCTGCTGACTGTGTTGGCTGTGCTGCTGTTCTGATGGAGACGGCAGTGGCCGCCGCACGTCGTGTCGGGACTCTCAGCTCAGCGCCTTAGTAGCGGAGACCGGTTCGCCGTGCCCTCGGCGAAGTAAGAAGAGGCAAAAGAGAAGCCCTCCCCAGACTCAGGGCAACAGCTTGAAAGCTCAACCGGACCATGTTTGCACAGGCCGTCAGCTGGGTGCGCAAGCCGTGATCTTGCTAGGACAAGCTTTGTTCTGAATTTCCCACCTTTTCTGATGTTGACATTCCCTGATCTTCAGCAATCTTGACCTCGATGCCTTTCTGAAACGTAGCAGTTCTAATAGGGAAGCTGAACTGGGCGATGGCAGCGCAGCACGGTCGGCACCGCCCCTGGACTGCGAAACACTTGAGCCCAGCACCGCGCTACACACCAACCCAAATCCTAAACTTGATCCTGGGCCACACGGACTTTTCATAACGTGATATCTGACGTCGTCTTGGATCTTCATGTTCAAGCACCGGACCTGTGCATGCATCTATGTGCACTATGTGAGGATTGCGTGAAGTGCAAACATGCCACTTTGGGACGAGATGCGATGCGATAAGCAGTAGAAGCATGAAATGAGCCCATCAGGCAGTCACAGTCGTGTCGAGCCCTTTCTTGCAAGAGCCAAACCAGATGGCCGCATCGAACCGCTCAATCAAGGGTCTTCAAGCGGATGGGAGTCAATTTAGGCCTGGGCTGGGCAGGAAGCCGGCATTGAAAGTCAAGCACTTTTCCAATCTGTGTGGAGTCAAAAGACGACGGCGGGTAGGTGGTTGAAGCCACAAGGCTCGGCAGTATTTACACGCTCAGCTGGCTTTACCCATGGAGAAGCATGTCACCAAAATGCGCGACTTTTCTTGGCATGTCAGGCCGGAGGGCACTGCAGGCGTCCAGGGTCTACGACATCAGGGCTGTGAGGCGCCTCCAGTTGAAGCACAGACCAGAAGGCGACCGGTGACGAGGGTGGTGAGAGCTCTGGCGCGGCTTGGCACACCGTTCCCGCGGTAAAGGGGTATTCCCCGGACTCCTGCCGGAGCCAACCTCCTTAATTCAAGATGCTGACTTCAGAGCTCTCTTGCTGCGAGGCTGGAAACAGGTGATGCGCAACCCGACGTATCTTGCAAGTTTGAACGCTTCTTGCATCCTGTGCCATCAAGGAGCCTTTAAACTTTAAACGAGCCCTTCGAAGGGGTGCATTATCGGGGATCATGGTTTGCAGTGATCCGCGGTTCTTCTTGCTAGAGCTTGGTTGCCCAGAGGCATCGCCGATGGAGCTTCGCCACGAGTAGATCCCTCACCCAAGCCCTGCACCCTGAAGCCCAAAACCCTAATTCCTTCCCATCATTGGCCTGTCGCTGCTTGCACACATCGCACACTCCTTTTCTCTGGCCAGGCTGTGTCAACCGTAAGCTCTAAGAAAACAGACTACCGCCGATGCCGAGCGAAAAGGACAGCATCCGGTTGCCCTCAAAGGCGAAGCACAAGAGAGGCGTCTGTGCGAAGGCATTGGCAATGATGGTGCAGAGATGTAATCCTGCACGTCTCAACCTTACTGTGGCGGAGGGGTGGTGGCGGAAAACCTTGAGAAGAGAGCAGCGAAAGGCCTGCCAGTCGTGACTGTTCACAGCGGACCGTCTCACCTCGGCAGCATGGAGTCAGGAATGAGGGGGACATTCCTTCCCATCATTGGCCTGTCGCTGCTTGCACACATCGCACACTCCTTTTCTCTGGCCAGGCTGTGTCAACCGTAAGCTCTAAGAAAACAGACTACCGCCGATGCCGAGCGAAAAGGACAGCATCCGGTTGCCCTCAAAGGCGAAGCACAAGAGAGGCGTCTGTGCGAAGGCATTGGCAATGATGGTGCAGAGATGTAATCCTGCACGTCTCAACCTTACTGTTCCCTACCAACCCCACCCGCTGGCTGTCCACGACGGAGGTTCCACACGAGCAGCACGACCGTTAGGAGGTCAAAGGGGCGGGCCGGGAGGGTACTTGCCGGCGCCAGCTCCGGAGGTGGCGGAGGAGCTGGATGGCTTGTCAAGTACAACGGGGCCGCTGGTTGCTGCCGCACTCCTAGTTGCTGTGACAACCAAGTGATGAGATTTTCTTCGATCTCGTTGGCGGCCCCCATTATTTGCTGCACAAGCTCGCGGCAGACGTGGGTAAGAAGAGCAACTGTACCTCGGATGAACAGCTTGACCAAAAGGGCCAAGCACAAAGCCACAAGTCGGGGGAACATCAGGATGAAGAGGATGGCCAGCCCTGTCTTCCATCTACAGGACACCAGCCAGCGAAGCCAAGCGATCACGATGGGCTGCGGTGCAGACTGCGGTCCTCTGTGTGCCTGAACCGGCCTTGGCCGTGCAGGCGTCAAAGTCGAGGGTGAAGGTGTAGCCGCCGTCCTGGTAGGCGCGGATACCCACGCCCTCAGAGAAGTAGTGAGGCGCGCCAGCGCCGCTGTAAGCTGACGGGGGGCCGTTCCCGCCCGCCAGCGTGAAGCACTCTCCAGCGCCTGTGGGTCTGTCAGCACTTCCTGCGCCGTTCTTCCGTTGTCAACCTCGGCATCTCCCAGCTGAGCAGCTGCACTGTGTACCGCCGCGAGGAGAGACTGAGCAACTTCCGCCGTTTCTTCTACAGCTTCAGCTCCGGGAGCGGCTGGTCGGGGTAGTACTGGTGCCAAAGGTCTTCTGCTGCTTGGAGCGACGGCACCCGACGAAGGCGGGCGGCTGAGGTGGAGAGTTTGCCGCTTGGAAGGTTTCGCTCCACTAGCGGCCACGTGGAGGCCGCCGGGCCCCGGATCATTCCGACCATCCATGGTTTCCGAGGGTTTGAAAGAATCACGTAGATCCTCTTGTCCGTGTGGTAGGTGACGGAGGTCGCGGTGGTGTCCCGGGGCTTGTTGTTCGAAGTGGAACTGGGCAACGAAGAAGAAACACAGGCGGTTGGTGTTGAAGTTGAAGACGACGGCCGCACCGCCCCCGAAACCCTGGTCGCCTCCGCCCGGGCGCGAGGACCTGTTGACCCCGGCACACCAGCACGAGGACGCACCGTCTCTTGAGTCCGGGGTGGCTTCGGTTGGTCCACTAACTCCCAACCTTCCTCGTCCAAAGCGTCAGCTAACTCCCGGAGGGCCCGAGACACTCGATCGGACATGGCACCTAACAATCTAGCAATTCAGCCAAAGACATCGGCGGCGGGTTTTTGAGCAGCGGCCAGTCGTTGTTGACGGCAATGACATTGGCCCTTGCCGTCGCTGAGGCCGACGCCGAAACCTGTGCACAAAAGGCCTCCTGCAAATAGGACTTCAATGTTTCTTGCCGCGCCCACCTGCCGTGGTACTGCAGCTGAGCTAAGTGCATGGATTGCTGGAACATGTAGGTTGCCCCTCCACCCCGAAATGAGCTGAGGGTGTATCCACGATCCCGTAGTCCAAGCTCTTCGAGAGCTGCTGCCACGCACTTTGCCCACTCCCGGCGACCGATGGGGAACAAGCTCCTATGAGCTCGCCGTCCGACCGCCCACCACCGCATCCAGGATATCAATGCGTGTGATTTCACTAGCACAAACTGCGACCTCCATACTCGCCGCGTCTTCGGCTTCCTAATGGTGATCACCATCCCCTCCTCGTTGCTGAGAGGCTGGCCGAGATCGGGGATCAGGAGGTCCTCCACTTTCAATTTATGGCATTCCCCTGGTCGGAGCAAAGCATCAAACGCCAACCACGATGCTAGGAAAGCTGCGATCCACCTTTCCCGCTCCCGGCCACCAAAACGTAGGCTCCTAGCAAACATCACCACCAGCAGTGCCGTGAAGACCGAAAATGCGATAGGCACCCGCGTGCGCACGGGAGTCAATGTCCTCCACGCCCTTATCGCGGCCCAAGTATGCCGCAACAATGGCCCTGAAATCTGCAGCTGCCTCTGGATTCCAAGGATGCCGAGCGTGACACGATATAGTCTCTCTCCCGCTTGCAAGCACCAATCAACTACTTCCTCTAAGGCCGCATCCACCGTTCTTGACGATGAGCGGCGAGTCAAAGGCCTCCCCAAACGATCAGCTATTTCGAGGATCCACACCGCCGCTGATCGGAGGCCTCGCCGGTATTCAGCAGTGAGAGCCGCGTCGCGCAGCCGAGGTACTCGTTTTCCACCTCGCCAGCGCATCGGCCAACTGCTCACAGAATCCAGGAGGGTAGTCCAAAGGTTGCATAGCCCGAGTCACCCGCAGTGACGACCCACGCCAATGATCGCCGGGACACCGATGTACAACCTCCTTGAGCCACGGGGCGTTGGAGAGGAGCCGGGTTCTCTGTCGTGGGACACTGGCTGCATTTCCAGATTCACGGTATGCGCACAAATCAACCCGGTGCAACTTCAACCCCCCCTTCTGCATCAGCAACTGGGTTTCCCGCAGCCGCCAAGCCCGACTAGTAGCCGGGTGTTCCACCACCACATAGCATCCAACCTGCAAGGCGGCATCAACAAGAGACAAAGTCCTTCTCCAGATGAGGTTCTCGGCCGCAACCTCGGGTTGTGCCTCATCCCCCTCTGGATAGCCCTTCGGCCTGAGTGGACCATTCCGGTCAAGGCTCCGAAGTGCCGAGAAAGTTTTGCGAGGCGGTGCAAACCAAGCCCAAGACAACCTTCCACTGGAGACCACGGCCTCAATGACTGGAAACATCAGCTCTAGACCCTCATCCAATGCTACAGGCGACCCCATGATAAAGCCACGATCACGATGAGCCCGTGTTAACTCACCACCGTGGATCCCCACCTCGAGGCCGGCGCATTCGACAATGCCGGTGATTCCGAAGTCCTGCAGCCACCTGGGAGCCGGCAACGGAGGAGGAAGGTCCTCACCCCGTGATGGCTGGTCCGCCCTATTCGATGATGTCTCAATCCAAATAAGACCGACCCCCAAGTTGGCAAGGACCAAGTGCGGGACCAGACCACGGAGGATGCCATTCAGCCGATAACTTGATGACCGACCCTTGGTGAAGGCACCGACGACAACATTCGAATCGTTGAGGCATACGACAAGAGAATTTCGCCACGATGGGTCCGCGGCTAACTTGATCAGCTCCCGCCGTAGTGCCCGAGCCTCCTGAAGATTGATATGCGAGGTTTGCCTAAACGTGTAACCGCTGATGATGCGCCAATGCACGCACTCTGCGACCACACTGCCGAACTTTGAAGGCTCCTCGGGGACCGTAGCGTCGAGCTGAAGATCTCGTTCACGATCCAACCGCACGGCCTGGCCCCGGAGTTCAGTCCTACGCCAAAGTTCTGAAGCTAACTCAACCGGCACATCCGCCATGACAGCGCCTCCAGTCGTGGGCGTTGCATCCGTCGCACACACTTGCCTTTGCAGACGTCGCCTCATCGAGCATTTCGCGAATGGTAGGTGAAGGGCACAACTGCGTAGCTCGTCTTGTATGTGCTTCGGGATGGGGATCCAACGCTTCTGGGGCATGCGGTCGATGTACTTATAGAGATGGTGCATGAGCGAATAGAGTTCCCGCCGATACTGAAAAGCAAAAGCTAGGTATCCAACGATCTTCCGGAGCACTTCCTTCGAGGCGAATCCTCCGGACACTAACTTCCCCAGCAGCACCCACAACTGTTGCCGAACATCAAGTGGGGCTCCGACCGTGCCGCGGATTCCGTCCACCTGTGCTCCCCATGCCTTAAACAAAGTCTGCGCCCGGAATGCCTTGTGAACAGCCCTCTCAAGACCGGCCTCTAGGTATGCCAACTCCGCCTTCTGCATCTGCTGCATATCCGCGTCGGTGACCTGAGCTTCTGGAGGAATGAACGTGCCATCTACGGGGATCTCATACGGCATGGTGCACTTCTGGGTTACCAACAAGTCATCCAAATACACTCCTTCCCAAAGGTCACCTCCGGGTACATGCTGGCCGTATACCAACTGCGTCGATGCATCAAGAACTCCGTGCCTCCTCAACACCGCCTCGTGAGTCGCCTGTGCGATACAGCATCCGTTCTTATCACCCATCCCCAGGACCCTGAAACATAACCGATAGTCCACTGCAGGGTCGCCCCCATGATCACGCACGACATCTGGATGAACACGACGGCCTACTGAATTATATCGCACCCAACCTTCAGGTAGTCGAAGAGAGTAATAGTAGTTCCGCAAATCATCACCTGAACCACGCAAATACTGGTTGGGCTCTAAAAGCAGTCTGGTAAAACAGGCACCTGATGGCAAAGTTGCCCACCGCAATCGGGGCATGGTTGCATTCTCTGGCCTCCGATCATAGATGAGCCTGTCCTCTTGTTGGTTCTTGGCTACACAAAACAGTCCACCGCCTAGCAGCTTTCCACACTGGTCCCGGGGCAAATCGGCCTCAGGAACGAGAGCAGCCATGCCAGTTTCAAGCATCCGCCTAGCAAGAGCCGGCTCCTCCTCCGGTGCAACCCGGTGGCAAGCCACCACAACATCCTCCCAAAGGGGCTCGGGGAGCCGCAACTTCTCTAGGTTATTCACCACCGCCGCACGATCGGCCGCCAACCAATCACACGGATCCACCTGCCCCGCCCTCGCGGGAATCGCCAAGCGCTCCGCCACCACCGGCAACGCCGTCGATGGCAACCCACCGTCCGTGGGCTCGATCACATAGCTTGCACCCGCCCTCCCCGCTACTTGATCCAGCAACTGTTGCACAGAAGCCCGCTTGCCCTCGCAACCGAGCTCACCCAAAACAAGCTCCAGGGAGACGAATTCGCGCATCTCGCCGAGCAGCTCATCGCTGAAGGCACGGATGGCCTCCACACACCGATGTCCCACTCGCGGCTCAAAAGCACTGCCATCGGAACCTGGGCACCCAAGAGTCACAAAGTTACCCCAGGCGATAAACGCATTGAGGAACGCCTTGCTCCACCAAGTGACCACCTGATCCGAACCCACCTCCGCGCCAGCAGGCAGGAGAGCTTCGGGATAGGGCAGCATGCTCGGAAATAATGCTGTAACATCGCTGGACAGCTCCAGCCGAGTACCTTGGACACGTTCAAACCAGGCCAAATAACTAAGGAACTTCGAATTTGAATTATAGCCCACAAGCGCTGGATGTTTCACATGCTGGCCCGTGGGAGCGTGCACGACATAGGACTGATTCACTTCTTGTGAGAGGAGCTGGCGGGCTCCTCGGTCTCCTCTTCGGCCTGGGCTCGGTTGTGATTCTCTCGCACTCGCTTCTGGAGCTTGCTCAATGATTCGACGTAGCCCGATACAATCGCCATCTCTTCCCGAGATCCTGCGAACTCCCTGCGGCTGCAGGGGTCTGGCAATCCCGTCAACAACCAGGCAGTTGCCCAGTCTCCTCCCTGGAGTACGCTCTGCAGCTTCGCCTTCAAGTTCTGCACGACCTGAGCAGCCGCCACCTGTGGTTCGTTCGCCCGCAGGCTTTCGTAAACCGCCACATCCATCATGGCACATCTGTAGATCCCCTTGAACTTTCCCCACTGCTGCTTTCGAACGTAATCCCGAAGAGTCCAAGCTTGGCCCTTTACAATCCCCAGCTCCTCTATGACCTCCTTCTCGAAGAGGTCGCAAATGCGCCTGGGTCGCCGATGGATCTGCTCGTGCAACCTGTTCAGCTGCGATACGGCCTTCATCCCTTTTCCCTGCAAGTCGTCGTCGCTGTCCGTGTCTTCGGAGTCGGAGCCACCAAGGATAGAGCGGCCGCTTCTGTCCTTCTTCTTCTTTTTGTTCTTCTTCTGGTCCATCAGCATCGCCATCATCATGAGGGGCACTAGCTCGTTCGGGGATTGCCCTGCTGCCAAGCTCTGCTGGAGGATCTGGTTCATGTCCAGCTCGCCCTTCACCGCCTTGCCTTCCGCTTTGGCCTTGGTCTTCTTGACCCGCCCTCCGGGCGGCAGGAAGTCCATCTTTCGCCGATCCGTGGATGCCTCGTCGTCCTCTGTGCCCTCGTCCTCCTCGTCCGAGTCGTCGCCGGCCCGGGTCTGGGTGTACAAGGCCCGAAGGCCCTTCAAGTCCCCTGCTAGACCCTTTGACCGTGGGGCTGGGATCTTGGTTGGGGCTTCGGCTTCGCTGCTGGCAAGGTCCTTCTTTCCTACCTTCTTCCATGCGCGTTCACAAGTGGCACAGCTTGGCAAGTCTTTAGGCCTACGACCTTTCCAGTCAGCAGGCGCACTAAGGCCCACAGCAGACAAAGCCACTCTCACGAAGCCCACCTGATTCTCCCCAATGGTCTTATGAGATAGGGCCGCGAGGTCTTCCGAAGTCGTCGCCAAAACCACGTCGTCACCATCTACCTCCACGGCCCATCCACACACGGATTTTGTCCCGGTCTCGGACACCAGCAGACAATACAAGAGATCCCCAGCTTCGGCCATGGCGAAGCGAACCCCCCTATCAAAACCTTGAGAAGAGAGCAGCGAAAGGCCTGCCAGTCGTGACTGTTCACAGCGGACCGTCTCACCTCGGCAGCATGGAGTCAGGAATGAGGGGGACAATCCTTGGACTGCACGGTGTCCACTGTACGGATAACTATGGTACATCGCCAGGGTTCTTGAAGTGACCAGAATGCAATGCAGGGGAGTCGCCTACAGTTAAGATCGACAATAAAACTCAACCCTCGTTCGGCGCACCCTGTCGCCACAGCACATGTCGCTGCACCGCAGTCAAAGGAAGCTTGCAGGCCTGCAAACTGGAGCACTGTCCTGTCATGTTTTTGCAGAGTGTTTTGTCCGGGCCGTGCACCAACATGAAATGAAGCAAAAGATCTTGTGGGCTGCTATGCCGACACTCAACGATCGAGTTGTTGGCATCATCTCTTTGGGTAGGCAGTCTGAGTTGCAGAAATTGGGGGGGTGAGCCTTAGAACCAAAACGACTGCATGTCATAGCACATGCTGTCTTCCGCTGGGCATAGCCCGAGGCTGGGCTCGGAACCGCACTTGCCAATGCTGCAGTTCTTGAGATAACAATGCACATGCGTGTGGGCAAAAAGTCTGTTCACATCACGTCGGCACGCTTGGATCTTTGGCGGCAAGTTTCCTCCGGCTTGACCCCTTGTGTATTTGTGCTCGAGTCAAGCGAACGTTTGTTCTGGGGTATCAGTTTCAGGCTCTAACTGTGATCTAGGATCACGAGCTGGATGTATTTGGTGGTTAAAGCCAGCACGAGCTCAGGCGGCTGCAAGAGGACTTATGGCTCCCAGTTTGGCTCTGCTGTCAGTCGAAACTTTCTTGGGGGTCGACATCCATCCCGGATTCCGATGCGAAACCTGCCGCAGATGCTCAGGTTTGCTTCGATGCTGCCTGCACGATCTGAGCTTCAAAATACGAAGAACCGAATAGGTCTCGAGACTCGAGATTCATGTCACGATTCTTAGGCCAGAGAACGCAAGGACAGACACCCTCTGTTAAACAACCACCAGCGATTCCAATCTGCCTTCACATGGACGCTCAACCGCTCCGGCTGCATGTAATGCCTTAAAGAAATGCGTGGGGGAAGCTCGACAGATTGTAGAGAGTACCCTCCCGGGACACTGATGGGTTCAGACGACTGCATCACCCGCACCTGCAAGCTCACTTAACCTTGACACCCGCAGCCTTCGACACCGGGCTACTTGTAGCCCTGGCTCTCTTTGCATTCAGCAGTCTGTGGACAGCTTCTGGTTCTGCTGACAGTCGAAACTGTCTGCGAGTCGGCATCTATCCCGGATTCCCATGCGAAACCTGCTGCAGATGCTCAGGTTTGCTCCGATGCTGCCTGGAGAACCCCAACCCCCTGCATTGGCAGAATCACAATGAAGTCTGCGTCACAGCCGGCAAGCCCACTGAAACAGCTTGGCCATGACATGTTCACATGGACGTTCAACCGCTCCAGCTGAATCGAATCCGTGGGTCAAGCTCTAGAGAGTACAGAGACTACCCTCCCGGGGCACTGATGGGTTCAGACGACTGCATCACCCGCACCTGCAAGCTCACTTGACGTCGACACCCACAACCTTCGACCCATTCATCAAGATGCAATGAAGTGCAGCAAACGCGCGATGAACTTGTCCCAGTTGGCTCTGGCTGACAGTGTATATATAGTTCAAGAGATATCAAGAGATCACAGTATTGCGTTGGGTACTAAATCAACGAGAGGAGGTGTCTCTTGCTGCTTGGGCCAGCATTCTATATCGAAGGGGTTCCACTCGACTCGTTCGTCGTTCCAATTACCTAATTGGCCCTGGATGTGCCTGACTCATGGCCTGTTTGGCAGTAACCAGCTGAAGCATTGTCAGCTGCGTTTCGGGCTTCATCTTGCTTCGCTGCCTCACCGGCCTTCCCAAAAGGCAGGTAGGCAGCGCGCTGAAACCAGTGATGGCATGCTTCTAACAGTGTCCCTGCAAACTCCCACCTTCACAGATGCCAACCTTATGATAAGAGCAGTAAAGTGCAGCAGGCTGCTGTTGTGCTCGTGCTCACAGACAGCCGCTGCCAAGTGGAGACCCCAGTCTTGCGCAAGGTCTTACGATGTCTCTGCGACCCTCTGACAGATACCGAGTCGGAGGCAAAATGAAGAGTCGAGCGCAACATACAGCAATCTGTTACAGGGCACTTCGCCATGTTCTGCCATGCGTGGCTTCTGGTCCAACTTTGAGGAGACCACGAGCAGTCACCCTGCTGTCATGGCCAACCCACAGCGAGCGCGGGCCGGGGATGCCGTAAGGAGGTGCAGCTCGTGGGCTGCTGTAAAGGAGGGACGAGTCCAAGTGTGACCTTTTTGCCCTCAAGATTTGAGCCGTTGACGGATCTTGTTTCTGAAGAACTTCAGTGAAAACGGCGAGCCCGACCACCGCAATATTTCCAGAATGTCGTCCCCGGCCCTGAGCCTTCGCCGCGGCAACATCCGACATTCGCCTCTCGCGGTAAGAGCACGTCGAAAATACTCTGTAATCCCATACTTCGCAATCCCGGTCCCCATTTCTCCCGGCGGCACGTCTTCAAACTGCGGGCAAGCAACCTTTGCGCTTTGCAGGCTTCAGCTGGCCACGGCCAAGAAAGCCTGGCAAGGCCGTTCTGCCTGTGCCTGCGAAGCAAAAAGCATCTTGCCAGAGAACCGCTGTACAAACAAACCACCAGCTATGTAGCTCTAACCGAGGGTGGGGAGAAGCTACTCAGGGGCTCTGATCCTGTCTTGCATACTCTGTGACCAGCAACATGGCTGAGAAGAATCAAACCGACTGCGACTCGCTGTCGCAGTCGCATGACGGATTTGACGCGCCCTCGGATGCTGACACGCTCCTGAGAGGACTTTAGGAGACGGAACGAACGACGGTCTTTGCGATGCCTGGCTCCATTGAACCCCAAGCGTGTCAGTTGGAATTGACATGATCATTGGTCCGTTTATCTCGAGTCTTGACTGCGACATCCGAGAAGCTACATCTCTGAATCCAAAACATGCAGTACGAAGAAAACTGACAAACGCGAAAGGCTGCGTCAGCGAAGCCACTGTCTACACATCTGCCATTGGCCGCACAAGACTGATGCTGCATCAGCGAGGGCAGAAAGGGCGGATTTCGGCAACCTCCGAGGTCATGCAGTGTCGCATGGCAAAAGACCGCGTGGTAGATGGCCGGCCGCACGATTTGGTAAAGGCAACGAAGACTGAGGTCGCCGTGATCTTGCAAGGTATATCGCCAGCTGTTTCAGGAGATAGGAGATGAAGTAGCTGGCGTCGCAAGCCTCCGCTTCAAGATCACTGGGATGCGGCGTGGACCAGTCAAAAAAGGTAACAGAGAGAGCAACTTCAGAATCCGGAGACCAGTGCAGCGCATTCCAGAAACCACCGATGAGGCAGGTGCCTTTAGTGGGCACAAGCTCGGACGTGGCGCCTCACGTCACTCGGCTGCTACATGGGTCTACCTCATCGGCGTGGGCATGGCAACAGGTTGCTTGGAGAATCCTCCGCTCCGCCCCTCGGGTCCGGCGCAGATGCTGATTGGAGTACGGCAGGTCTCCTTGGATGTGTCCGTGCACGTGCACCACGCATTCAAAGGGGTCTGTGATCTGTCATGGAAGTCTCAAGCCTGACGGGACAGCATGTCTCAGAAAGCATGACAGAAGCGTCCACGGTCAAAGGAGGCAAACACTCCAAAGTTCTCAGGAAGCGTTCCGCGGTGCTTTTCAAAGCGACGGAGGATCCTAGGGGGCCTTGAGATCCGTACACATGCGTAGACATGCGTACATGCCTCTGAAGGCCACAGCGACAGAAGCCTTATCCGGCTGCGGCCGTAGCCGGCGGCCGGCTTGTATTCAAGCACTTCAAGCGCTACGAGTGCGACTAGTGCGAGTGTGGATCTTCAGAGTGCGAAAAAGGCGAAGCAAGAGCAACGCAGAGACTGCAGATCTTCTCCTGCAACCTGTGCTCTAGCCACTAGCCAGCGTCTTCGTCAGCAAATGCAAAAGTTCCACGGCGGTCTATGCCAAAGCCGGTGTGCTCAAAGGTGTCTGCACAGCGAAGTATGCAGTGGCAGCAGAGAAAGCGTGTTGTGATGCAAGACGGCCCACAATGCGGAGGCCTTCCTGAAGGCAATTCTGTCCCGCGTAGACAGCGGGACTATGGCACTCGGCATCGCTTCCGAAGGTCTCACAAGGCTCCAAGTCCCAGATGCAAAGAGGGAGTCCAAACATGCTGAGAAACGCAGATTTACCGGCAAGTGGCCTCTTGCCGTGTGTCCCCAGCGCCTCCGTCATCTTCATCGCAGACGCATCTGCCTTCCAGCACAGGCAGCTCGGACAGGCACAAAACGAGTCAAACAGTCTTGCAAGAAAGTCACCTCTAAGACGCCAGTGCAGTCAAAGCTACTGCCAGACCGCCAAAGCGCACAGCAGCAACAGCGGATGCTGTGTCAGAGACCAATCGTGGGGATTTAGGTTGAGGGTTTCTTCGCACGCTAAGATGCAACTTGCACGGGCGTCGACTGGGTCAGGACCGCATGTGTCCTTGTCGGGATTGGCTTGAAGTGGCGTATGACACCAAGCTTCCTCGCTCTCGCTGAGTAATCTGTCGCAGGCGATGCTTCACGCAAGTCCTTCGCACAGCAAGCCTCTAAACGGGGAGAGGCCTGCAAACTCGGAGAGATGCTGGCGAGTGCTGGAACAGAGATGGAGCCGCCAGAGCCGGGTCATGGACCTCCCGAGAAGCCGCTTGCCGTCTCTGCCTTACGCACCGAGAGACGCCAGAAAATTCCTGCAGCACGGCACCCAAGGCCAGTGCTGCTACTCGTAGTATGTGCAAAGATTCTTCCTCTGCCCCTGCCGTTGTTGGGGCATGTGCCTTTGGTCTGCGACGGGGTCCCAGGGTGTGCCGGTGCTGTTTCCGAAGACTCTGCTGCGCGA